TACATTTTTTTACTAATATTGCATTTTCATCAATAAAACAAAAAAAACTAATTAAGCCGAAGTCAGTATTACAATTATAAACTAGTTCATAGCAAAAATTATGCTATATTCGCTCTTAATTAAGGTTTGTCTTAAATAAGCACTTCAACCTCTTTTTGGATCAAATCTGAATTCAAACTTTCAACATTTAATTACTCCAAGAATTACTAAAAGAATCGCGTGGTCGGATCATTCCTGCCACGTAAACCAATAAAAGTAAATGCTTAGATTTTCACCCAACAAACATAGAAAAAATAAGGAAAATTTTGAAAACCAACAACTACCCTGACTACTTAGTACGCGAACTATTAAAACAAAAATTAATGCAAATAGATAATCACCGAAATAAAACAGATAACTCAAAAGCAACGGATACAGCAAAAAAATATTACAGCGTGACCTACATACCTAAGCTAAGCGAAAACTGCAATCACCAACTGGCCAGAGCACAAAACATAACCTTTGCATATAAATCCAACTCCACCTTATCCTCAGTTTACACAACAACAAAAAGCCCAATTGACTCCCAACAGAAAAGCAATGTTGTGTATGAAATTCAATGTAAAGGCAAAGAAAACGAAGCCTGTGACAAAGTGTATATTGGAACAACTAAGCGAGCTCTAGGTACCCGGCTAGCAGAACACGAAGCAGATATAAAAAAACGAAAAACAAAGACAGCACTAGCACAACACATAGTAACGAGTGGACACACAGCTGATTTTAAAAACGCTATAATAATAGACCAAGAGAAAAGGGAAAAGACTAGGTACACGCTGGAAAGTCTGAGAATAATGGAGAAAAGAGAAAAAACAATAAATAAAAAGGAAGATACCGATGACATTGCCGCGGCTTATATTTTATGTTTACAAAATTAATTTAAAAGTTTTCAGTCTTGACTAAACTACCACACAAGATGGTATTGGATATTTAGCAATTAAGATTTAGAAATGTTTAAGTGTTAATACTGTGAGTATTGTCTTGCATCGAGTTAGAATTGTTTGTTTACATATGTTATTGTTATCCAACTTTATTTATATGTGAATACGTACATATATGTATGTACTTGTTTGTGTTTCTCTGCTTTTAATGTTCTTTTTTATATTTTGTATTTATTGCTGTAACAGACAAAAATAAACAACGCGCCCCTGATGATGCTAATAAGTTTAGCGAAACGTTGGGCTGTAATAGTGGAATAAACTTGTTTTATTTGCACTAAAGATAATTAGATCGGACTAGCCTATCAAGAAAATTCTGTAAATGCTTAGATTTTGCTAAAAATTTATTTTTATCAAAACAACTGATTAAAAACTTCGAATTTCCTGTTTTGGTTGGCTACGCGGTTGTGAGTTACGAATGGATTTTTATATTTTGCGGGGCGGAGCCCCTAATTGGTAGCGATGAAAACTCGGATTCCAGCATAGGGATGGTATCCTCGGAGGTTTGCCATAACTTGGCAAGAAAAAATAAAATTTTTTTTTTGGTCCGTGAAGGACCAGGGATCACACCCTCGATCTAACGAGTGATA